AAATTGTGACCCAGGTGTTATGAGTACAGATGTTTTTAAAGAAAATCATTTCTAACTTTAATTACTAACCTCCCTCCCCCACCTCTTTTTTTAAACAGATTCTTTGGATTTTTTTTTTTTTTAACAGAGTCATCCTTACTTCCCCTCAAGATGACAAACAGTTCTATCTTCTGCCCAGTTTACAGAGATCTGGAGCCATTCACATATTTTTTTTATTTAGTGTTCCTTGTTGGACTTATTGGAAGTGGTTTTGCAACCTGGGCTTTTATACAGAATAACACAAATCACAGGTGTGTAAGCATATACTTAATTAATTTGCTTACGGCTGATTTCCTGCTGACTCTGGCATTACCAGTAAAAATCGTTGTCGACTTGGGCGTGGCACCCTGGAAGCTGAAGATTTTCCACTGCCAAGTGACAGCCTGCTTCATCTACATTAATATGTACTTATCAATTATCTTCTTAGCATTTGTCAGCATTGATCGCTATCTTCAGTTGACACACAGCTCCAAGATTTATCGGATCCAAGAACCTGGATTTGCCAAAATGATATCGACCGTGGTGTGGCTAATGGTCCTTCTTATAACAGTGCCCAACATGATGATTCCCATCAGAGACATCGAGGAGAAGCCAAATGTGGGATGCATGGAATTCAAAAGGGATTTTGGCAGAAATTGGCATTTGCTGACAAATTTCGTATGTGTGGCAATATTTTTAAATTTCTCAGCCATCATTTTAATATCTAACTGCCTTGTAATTCGACAGCTCTACAGAAACAAAGATAATGAAAATTACCCATATGTGAAAAAAGCCCTCATCAACATCCTTTTAGTGACTACAGGCTACATCATATGTTTTGTCCCATATCACATTGTCCGAATCCCATACACCCTGAGCCAGACAGAGGTAATATCTGACTGCCCAACCAGGATTTCACTATTCAAAGCCAAAGAGGCCACACTGCTCCTTGCCGTGTCAAACCTGTGTTTTGATCCGATCTTGTACTATCACCTCTCAAAAGCATTCCGCTTAACAGTCACCAAGACTTTTGCTTCACGTAAGGAGACCAAGGCTCCAAAAGAAAAATCAAATGGTGAAAACAGTGCATAAAACATGGGATTTCTCATGCTATCACTTCCTGCCTCAGTGGGAAAGAGAGCAAAGAGCCTAAGTAAAAAAGACAGCTAGCATATGTGGCCTGGTTTACTGAGAAACTGTTTCCAAATGTAAGCCAAGCAGTACTCTTGTGGTTGTTAATGATCCTTAACCCAAATATTTGTACAAAAAAACTAAAAGATGCTGTTGAACCAACGTAAAACCTTGCATTATCCTTGAAATCTCAAGGAGTTTTATGACAGACTCAGAGGCATTCGTGAGGTATTCATTTAAATACCGGGAACTGACTTCTTGATAGAAATATGCAACACAATTTAAATAAAACCATTTAGATCATACCAAAAAAAGTCCAGCTGATTTTTACATGAAACCACCTGTGCCTGATTTATTTTTAATCCATCATTTTAAAGATGGTAAACTTTTGGTTTACTACTCTGATTTTTAATATCTAATTGTTTTGTAAGGTTATAAATAAAGACTTTCTACCCTAAGTAATGACAAATTCAGTGATTCCTTATTTTGTAGTAACATGAAATAGACCCTACAACATTTTCAAGCAAGTTGTTAAACTACACTGGCTGCTTGAAAGTACTGTTATGGAACTAAAAACTCACATCAAAGATATGGAAAAACAGCACTACTCAAATGGCCTTCAAAGAGACATGCCAGATACACACACAGCAAGACCTTGTAGGGAACACAGCACATGCTGGGCTGATTGGCACCATGTCTGAGTCTGACCCCACATGGGGCCTGCAGTTTAAAGAATGGGGGACTCCAGTTCTCAGGGTCACAACCCTTAGATCAAATTCTCTCTACTGCCAGTAATGCAGAAAGGGCTCAATAGATGGTATAAAATAAAAGACTTATTTGGGAAAAAGAAAATTGAAAAGTTTAGATAATGATACCTGAGACTGGGGGTGGGGGGGTCATTTCAATAGCAAAAGCCTGTATTGCAACAATTGGTAATACATTTGCATTAGCTGCAGTGATTAAGAAATGGTGTTCCTGGCAGCTCTCTTGAGCTCGCCCACTCTCACATCTCAAGAGTGTACTTTTCACTTTAATAAACTTTCCCATTTGTGGAAGGAAAGAAAGAGAGAGAGAGAGAGAGAGAGAGAGAGAAAGAATGAAAGAGAGAAAGAGAGGAGAGAGAGAGAGAAAGAAAGAGAGAAAGAAAGAAGAAAGAAAGAAAGAAAGAAAGAAAGAAAGAAAGAGAAAGAAAGAAAGAAAGAAAGAAAGAAAGAAAGAAAGAAAGAAAGAAAGAAAGAAAGAAAGAAAGGAAAGAAAGGAAAGAAAGGAAAGAAAGGAAAGAAAGGAAAGAAAGAAAGGAAGAAAGGAAGAAAGAAAGGGTATTCCTGGAAACTAACAAAACAAGTTTGATTCCAGAGTCATTTTTAGTTCTGTATTGAGAATTATTTTCTGAAGCTTGAACCCAAGACAATTCTGGTGTACAATTTCAGTATTTTCTGAGTTTGAAGAGAGTAATATATGAGAAAATGCACCCAAAAAAAGTCACACTTCTACCATGGTAAGTCCCGGACAAATTCTAGCTAGTGGTCATGACAGGAACCCCCCTCAGCATCACGTATCTGACCCAGGGTGTAAAGGGCTGCTGAAATGCCAGCCTGCTAGAACCTGTGCTTGCTGATGGTCTAACTTGTTTTTACTGACCGGCAGATCAAGACATGATTCATATGAGCATACGTGAAACTACTAGTTGCTTTTCCTGAATCTTTTGGTCAAGTCCCCATTAGTCTTCTCTCCTTGGTCTTCACTCACTAAGTGTGAGTGAAGACAGAAAGGGGGGTGGGAGGGAGCAATTTTTTTTTTTTAATCATATTCTTATATGCTTCTCCTATTCATGCATGATAGGTTAGTCAAATTTTCCCTCTTTATTAAGGAAGAGAACAAGACTCTCTACAGCATTCCTAATGTCGATGTTACATTAGTATATACGTTCATTTCCTCTTGATGATGTTTTATTCTAAATGACACTCAGAGTAAAGGGAGGCCTAGGGCAACTGGTGATAGAAGGCTATTAAAAAAATTATATCCTACAACATCAATTTTCTAGTAGTTGTGTTATGATTGCATTACAGTTATGTTATAATCCATCATGAGAGACTTAATCACCAGAAATCATTCATGCTCCTTCCTCTAAGGAGGTGGACAATCTTTAGAATGTTACATGCTGGCAATGACTGTGTAGACAAGGGTCACATGGACAACAGAATAGAGATGTCTGTGCTTGGGTGCACACCAAGACACATGGGAGAGGGAGGTGAGCAAAGCTCTGCCCACCCAAGAGAAGAACACAGAATCCTCAACCAATTTCAACCATATTCAACATTTTGCCCTATTTGCTTTATTACCCCTCTCCTTTTTATTTAAATTAAGTTTTTACTTTGGAATACTTTAAGATTTACAGAAAAGGCACATAGATAGTACAGCAAACCTTTCATCCCATTTGCCCTAATGTTAATGGCTTACATCACCATTTGCCCTAATGTTAATGGCTTACATCACCATGATACATTTGCCAAAAGTAGGAAATTAACATTGGTCTATTAAGTGTTAACTGAACTCCAGACTTCGATATCCTGCCCCCCCATTTTTGATGCCAACTATTTTAAGACCAATCCCAGACATTATAATATTCATCCATAAATTCTTCAGGACACAGATCTAAAATATCAGGCTATCCTTTCTGTTGCCCTAAATGCACAGTGAGATTATTCCATTATGTTGGAAATGAGTGATATGTACAGGTAAAGCAAAAAAAAAAAAAAAAAAAAAAATGTATTCAGCCAGTTATGAGCAAGAAAGAATTGTGACAACTTTTGACACAGCCCTGGACAGAAAAACTGACACCAAAAAGAAGATTCTTAATTGTAATAAAAAATACATGTAAAAAAAATTTTTTTTTGAAAGTTCCAAAATAATAAAAATTAAAAATTAAGAAAATATTTAGTTTGCAGAGCAAAACTCCTCAAAGATATCCAGAACATTATATATACCTCACAATCACACTGCTGTTAAAATAATAATAGCGTGCAACAACAAAAAAAAAACAGCTCATTAAAATTTCTCTTAAAATCCCAGGAAAAAAGATAGTAAACCTACAAATATAAACATATTTACAGATTTTGGCCCAATTTTCATTACTTTCAAAAAACCAATCTTGTTTCCCTTTAGTAAAAAGCACGTCACTTGTTAAGAGTTAAACACTAAATTTCCTGGTATTTCTCATATGCTGTTCAATTCTTAAATTCATTAGTTTGAAATCCAAGTCCATGTCATATACAACCTCCTCTATGAAGCCTTACCCAACTTTGCAATCAGATGCTCTCTCTCCCCTCCAATATTTATTCTTTGAGAGTGGAAGAGACCCAGGAATGTTAAACAGTTCACCTTCCAGCAGGCACTTGGGTTTTTACTAAATTATTGCATTTCTTTTAGTGTGTATCATTTCACATTTGTCTCCCTCCTATCTTATTCATCTTTCTTGTGTCCTAAAATTCTCATTCGTCTGTATAATACCAAGTACCTACCACAATACAGTGCACATAAAAGCTACTCAGGAAATGAGTTTCAAATGGAAGTAGGAAAACACATTTAGATGTCATTTCCAGTCACTCAAATGCTCTTGATAAAAGGATAATAATCTAGAAAATTCCATTAATTCTAGCTAGCCAGTAGCATCCCATCACAAATTTGAACTACAACTGTACATACACTATACGATCATAATTATAAAAGTAGCAGTAAATGAAAAACTCACCTGCTTTCAAATGTGTTACTCAGGCAAGTAGAATAGTCAATGGTTAATGATCTTTTAATGAAACAATCAAGGTTGCCAACTGATCAAAGCTGTGACTTACCAGAGGTATGGGAAAATGGGTTGCATACTGCAGGTGTCGCAGGAGGTCATAATTAGATGGAAAAATTAGCTCCCTGGGTTTTTCTCTCTTAAGCAACTTCTCACCATTAACCGACATTCTTCTGCCCAAGGAAGGGTTGGCATTCTCACAGGATTCTCCAGGCATGGGAGAAAAAATCTAAGTCATGTAAAATAAATGTTGGAGATTGTAAATGAAAGAGAGCAACACCAAAACACAGCGCTACATACCAAAACTCCAAACACACAAGACACTCCTACACTATCTCTTCCTTCTTTAAACACTGAGAAAATATATAAAGAAAATAAAGAAACTATGTTAATTTCCACAAAATTCATATTAAGATTAGTAGGAAACTATCAACATCATCTCCCATTTTGAAGATGAGAAAATGACCACCACACACGTAAAAATTGTGCAAAGCTACACTTCCCAGAGGACCAGAGACAACATCAGATTCATAGGTTAAGTGTTTCCTCATGAGTAACAGATACAAAAGTTTTAGTCAGTACCCCAAACAGTATTTTTTATAAAGCACCTCACTGAGATCCATAAGGAAGAAAATACTATAATTTTACGGAGATAAAGTAGAAAAAGCGTAACAAGTCCAGAGCCAGAAAAGCTATTATTTAGAAACTGAACACATACATAACACATCAACATGGACTGTCATGATGAAACTATTCATGTATTCCTGAGAGATGATGGTCTCAAGATGAACAAAAGTCACAGTCAACTAGGAGGACAGGAGTGTTCTACTCTACAAAAGAGACAATGCAACTAAAACTAAGGATGAACCGAAATGACACAATTGCACAAGATGATGTACCCTAGAAAGGAATATGGTAGGATGACATTTACATCACAGGGACACAAGTCATTCCAGTACGTAGGGCAAGGAACAGAAGGACGGAGACAAGCTGGGAGAGGGGTGGGGAAGAGGGGTTAATAGTCAATAAGAATTTGAAGGTTGAACCTACTGGAAATTCCGAACCAAAGTCAGTTTTAAAGTCATTCTTGTCTACTTCATCAAAAATATTAGTAGTTCCTGAGTCAATGCCCATATGCGCCATTATAGTCTGTTCCTGATAATTACCAGAGAAAGAAAGTGACACTGTAAATTTTGTAGTTAAATTAAATTAAAAAACTGAAGCTAAAATATGACAGTGATGTTTTTAACCACCCTAGGTCTTTTCTCTCCCTAGTATCTATTTTTCCCCAAAAAAGAGAAGTTTTAAGACATGTACTTGCTTTGCAAAGTCACATTCTTTATTCTCATAAGATTTACCTTTCATGATACTTGAAGGAAAGAGCCCACAAACTTAAAAACATTAAAAAACAAACCGGTCATAATGTCCCTCCTTTAGGCTATTCCCAGTCACGTGCTCACCAACTTTTCTTAGAAAAATCTGAGAGTACACCCAATAAGATACCTCGATATCCAAGAATAGAAAGGAAGAAACAGAAACATAAAAGAAGCATAAACAGGTAAAGTAACTTTAGTTTTTTAGCCTTTTATAACTTCTGTGGACAAATTTGGAAACAACAGTATTTACATTAAGGAAACAATTTTTTAAATTCCTGCACCATTTGATCACCAAATCTTAAGAACACAAACTATGAATCCACACATGTAATTCTAATGCCAGGTCTTTCAATTACAAGGATAATTTAAAAAAATATCATCACAGCATATGCTTAAGCTCTCACAGAACCATCATGAGGCTTGATTTTAAGGGACCTCCACAAGCTCTCATCATTTTCCACTCTTTCCCTTTACCACCTCCATGCTTTCTGCCTTGAAAACTTCTTTAAATATCAAGAACAATGTCCAAAACACCAGAAATTGGCAGAAAACTATAGTCATACTCATAGTAAAAAATAATTTGTTGAAAAGAACAATTCCACATTGGAGTTTTCAATTAATTGAAATGAAAATATGATGTGCTATGATCAAAACAGGATTTCCCATTTTGTAGGAAAGACAGAAGCAATGGATAAATTGGGGAAAAGATGTTCCTTAGAACAGGACTTTAGGCAAAAATCAGTCTGATTTTAAGGCACAACATTAAAGAAAAACTGGAAATTAAAAATACATAAAATTGGAAGCATATAATTCTTGTCCAGTAAAAAATGTTATGGACTGTCAAATCTTTTCATTAATAGTTTTCATTCATTTTCCAAAAGAAAATTCTGGAATGGATATATCCCATATTTTTTTTTTTTTTTTATTAGTGAGGAGTAGAGATAAATGAGTTCTCTAACAGGAGAATACAATTAAAATGCAATCACCCTTCCACCACGAAACAATCCTCTCAAAGGGGTTTCCCAGCTGAGTGTTGTTTTCAGGGCTGGGGCACCACACCCAGGACCATACCTCCATTTTCATGTCATGGTCCTTTGGGTAGTGTTCATCCACATTTTCTCCCGCTGGCGACCGCGGTCGGGTCGAGGCAGTGACTGACAAGTCTCCTCGAGATATGAGGGTGCACATGTATGCATCATGAGAGAAGACATCATGTCGGATGAACTCACAGAAGAGCAGCACCAGATTCACAAATTCCACCTTTTCACATTCACTGTTTGGATCCGCTACGTAGAAACAAATCAACAATCAGTCCCCTTGATACAGTAGGGGGGGGGGAAAAAAATAGGAAGGCTTAACAAGGGGTGCCTGGGTGGCTCAGTTGGTTAAACATCTGCCTTCAGCTCAGGTCATGATCTCAGGGTCGTAGATCGAGCCCCATGTCGGGCTCCCTGCTCGGCGGGAGAGGGAGGGTCTGCTTCTCCCCTGCTCTTCCCCCTTCCCTCCCTCCCCACTCATGCTCGCTCTCTCTCTAATAAATTTTTTTAAAAAACAAATGTAAAAAAAAAAGAAAAGTCTTAACAATATTTTCATTTTTTTTTTTTTACACAGAAGAGTTATTAGAAAATGCACTATGAGGTGCAAGCATTTTGTGCAGAACAAGCACACGATTGTCCCGCTGTACTTGAAAAATAGTATCCAGTGTGCTAAGCACAATTTCAAGTTTAAAGATAGTGGTCCCTGACAAATGAGTAACCACTTAATAATATAAATACGTAAAATTTCAGGTAAGGAAAAAAAAAAAAAAGGCAGCACCAAACTGCTTTCTCTGGTTTTACTATTAGAACAGCTCATGACTGTTTTCATAGCTTGAGAGTGTCTGTGTATTTGTGAGGTATGCGTGTGTACCTTTCAAAGGACACTTTATAATAAAACAGTTCAAAAGGTACTTGAAAATACTACTGCATGGGATCCACTAGAAAGAGGGAAGGTGCGAGACAAAAAGGCACGAAGATGGAGCTCTGCAGTCTTTCTCAGTTCATAGCCAGTCTATTTAACTCACGTTACGACTTTTAATACTGCAGCTGCACTCTGAAACTTTGTACCCTTGAGAGAGATTAAAAAATGTTAAGAGCAACCCTTCAAAGCTCGGGCCCTGCTATCATCATGCTCGCAAACACCAACAGAGACAAACAGATGGATCCAGGGAACATGAAGCGCCTTCCCTAACACTTAAGCCTTAGCGTTTGCTGTCGTCCACTGCAGAAGTCAGGGATGCACAACATCTACACAGAGAACACACACAGCTCTGACAGCAGGAAATGGGATCCAGAACAAGCAGAGGCAGAGAGGAGGAAGGGCTTCCCAAAGAACAAGCAGGAGTGGGGACAGGCTGAGGAACACAAAGGGCAAATGTGTATCCATCTCCTCCAGAAATACAAGAGAAGGTAGAGCAGCTAACTTCCACTCCTGACCATGTATTTTCTGCTCCCTAGGATCTCTTCTGTCCTCCATTTTTCTGCTTCCTCTTCCGTGTTTTGCTACAGCTGCCTACCTTGCAACCATTAGTGTGGCTCCAGCTCTCCCCTGAGCCCAGAACAGCCACCAAGTCACTTAAGGAACCTCATCCCCAAGCACCATTCAACCCAAAATGAGGGCCTTCTCAGAGGAATCAGAAGCAGTACTATTTCCTGCTGCTTTACCTCCTTCTTCACAACAAACCTGTCCCTCCCGCCCCCTCCATGCATTTTCTCCCCTATCACTTTTCACTTTATGCCATTTTCTGTTGCTTCAGCACTATCTACCTAAAGACTCACCCTGCTGTACTGTGTCACATGAAAGCCTCAGAATAAGATCAAGACCGCTAAGCACACATAAATGAATTTTTTAAGTGTCAGTTTACAGTATAAGCCTGCTGGGCTTATAATCCCCAAACTCTTGACTCCCCACAAACAATAGAATAAAAGACAGAAGAATGGGAGATGACAGAACATCCCATAGAGTATAGGCGAGCAGCCAGCCATCTGCACAAATTATTTCCTTACATCAAGCACCTGGTTATAAAGTACTCTGGTTTGACTTTTCCCTTTTTTCTTATCAGGAGTCGTAAAATGAGAACTTTTGAAAACAGTGCAAAAAGAGAAAATTCCTAATCACAATAGTGATTTAGACAGTGAAACATCAGAGGACCTTAGCTCCTCTATTTTGGTAAGAAAGATCTAGAAAGGGAAAACTAGACCACCAAATATTAGAGAATGAGGTGACTTATTTTTAAATTTTTAAAACTCTGGAAATTTTCAAGTCTTTGCAGCTCACCTAATTTTAAAATTGCATAGAAATCTCCATTAAAAACATTCAACAAAATTTTGCTCAGTAAAACATACATTATATTCATCACCAAGAACTCTTGATTAAGATGCAAATAAGGAAGAAAGAGAGTAAGAATTAGCTCCAATCTTTTATTTAAGATCTAGAAGCAAAGAACTTTACTTACATAATGAGGGGGCCTGTGTATCTAAAAACCTTAGTAGAACATTCTGGAAAACAGGCAAACTAGATCCAGCAAGAGAGGCTGAAGAAATGGACTCCTTCTCATCTAATACCTCTGATTCACCACATCTCTAAGATTAAAAATAAACAAGCACAGTTAATTACAGAGGGCAATGTAGCCACAATGGATCATGAATTTGTTAGTTTTTTATTAACATTTAAATTGGCAGAAAAAAAAAAAACATGCAAAATTAGTTGAGATTTCTGTACTTATTTGAGGGCTATGCGTCATAGGTAAATATAATATCTCAAAGTTAGGGGAAACTACCCCAGAACAATTCAAATGATTTCCAAGACACCCATGGAAAACATTATTCATGTAAATTATAAACTCTCCACAAGTTATAACTATCCACCGAATATACAGCATAGTACAATAAACTACTCATTATCCCTATGCAAAATTGCTAAAAATAACTCAAAGTTGTCTTCATTTTTAAATAGCTCATGCTTAACTAACTGTATATACTTCCCCTAAGAAACTTTTGGGCATGTTATTATTGAGTTCGATGTTTTTGTGTTTGTTCTTGCTAGGTGAGTGTATTTACAAGTGTGTACAGGGGATGTTGGGAACTGTGATGTCAAATGAGAAAGTGAACATAATTCCTCTGATAAGATTCTTTCACTCATCACACTTCACCAGGTAGGATCTCTTAGAACCTGTGGAATCTCCATAGCTGATGAAAGTTAGATCTAGAGAAGTTGCATTCAAGACAGAACTTACTAGGAGACCAGAAAAGAAACAGTTCAAAAGCAATCAGAACCCTGTTTTCTATTCTTTTTCATATCCCTCTGACCTTCCCATTTTCATTGTCTATTCTTTAATATTAATATATTCATTATTACATTCCATCCTCTCTTCACAAAGGTCAAATTTTGAAAATGGTGATGGTTCAACAACAATCAATTATCTTAAACATCCCTCAGAGAATACATTTTTTAGATGTGGATACATTTACACCTATTAAAATTACAAAGTCATCAGTGTGAGCCTCTTCCAAAAGTGATTGTGTGTGTGTTCCTAGAACACACTGGAAGAAGGGATGCCTGTGTGATGTAACAACTCAGAAGGAGCAATTAAATTTGAGAAATTCAACTTACTAAAATTTACTCATTGCAATTCACAGATCTATCTATTCATAGAAAAAACAGCAATGAAACACCTTTCCTAAACTGCACATTGTAAAATGGGTCATGTGTTTCATACCTTACTTAACCCAGTATCTTCAAGCCCCACGTTGAACAATGTGATCCTTTTTATTTGGTGAATAGTACTCTCCCAACAGGAGGAGATGTCTATAGATATATTCTTCCTATTTCATTTTTTAAGAGCTTCGCAGGAAAGAGTATTATCAGTAAGACAGAACTAGCTAAGTTCTCATCCATTCATACAACATTTTCTGAGCATCAACTATGCACTGAACACTATTCTGGGTGCCAAAGACACAACATTGAACAGGGCGGGCAAGGTCCCTGTTGTCAAGCTTACATTCTAGAGGGCGGTAGGCAGGCATTAAACAATAAACCAACAAGGAGAGGAAAACAGAGTGCTGTGAGAAAGAGCGCCTGAAGGGTGGGTGACGCAGGATCTTCCTGAGGAGGTGACACATGTTGAGCTAGGAATGCTAGAAAGCCACACTTCCTAAACTAGGAATGGCAGAAAGAAACTGGCCATGTGAAGACTAGGGAGCAGTGTGCCACCCAGTAGGAAGAGCAAGACCAAGGTCCCAAGGCAGCAGCTGGTTTGCTGTGCTGGAGGTACAGGAGGGCCAAGGCAGCTGCAGCTGTGACCCAGGGGAGAAATATTGAGACGAGGGAAAGGCGGTCCAGGGAGGCCCATACAAGGCTCTGTGGACACAGTAAGGATCCATCAGGAGTCTGCTTAAGGGGACAACTTGATCTGCTTCCAGTTTGAAAAGACGGTGGTTGCTGCTGTGAGGAGCAAGGAGCAGAGAGGAGGGGGCCCTGCAGCGGTCTGCGTGGGGCGGAGAGACCGCGGGCCGCTCACACCACACAAAGCCTTTCTCCTGGCCAGACCTCCAGATCTCACGGACAGATAAGGGGGCTGGCTGAAAAATTTTCCCTTCAACAAAAGCTAAAGTTTATCAAGTTAGCTTTGTTTTTGTTTTTGTTTTTTCCTTCATAATCCACTTCCGAGGCTTTAAATGCTCTCTCTGGGGCCAAAATACAATCTCAGAACTAATACAAATTGGTATCTGTAATCTCAAAATCAGAACTGCTCAAGAAAATACCCCCAGGGGCGCCTGGGTGGCTCAGTCGTTAAGCGTCTGCCTTTGGCTCAGGTCATGATCCTGGGGTCCTGGCTTCGAGCCCCGCATCGGGCTCCCTGCTCTGTGGGAAGTCTGCTTCTCCCTCTCCCCCCGCCCCCCGCTTGTGATCCCTCTCTCGCTGTGTCTCTCTCTGTCAAATAAATAAATAAAATCTTTAAAAAAAAAAAAAAAAGAAAGAAAATATTTCCAGATCCACTAAAGTATTAGGTAGCTTTAAAATTCAAATAGTTGGTGTATACTATATACATTTCTGTGTGTGTGTGAGCGTGTATATATATATGTATATAATACAAAACGTATATATGTGCATGTGTATCTCAACCTCATATAGGGAGAGGTCTTTGTTCTAAATCAGATGTTAGGGGCGCCTGGGGGGGCTCAGTCAGTTAAGCATCTGCCTTCGGCTCAAGTCATAATCCCATGGTCCTGGAATCGAGTCCCACATCAGGCTCCCTGCTCAGCAAAGAGTCTGCTTCTCCCTCTGCCTGCTGCTCCCCCTGCTTGTGCTTGTGCTCATTCTCTGTCAAACAAAGAAAATCTTTTAAACAAACAAATAATTCAGATGTTGAAGTTTTATTTTAAAAGATACAATTCTAAATTAGTCCAGAATATAAATTATTGGCTTCATCAACTCAAAGGGATCCTATATGTAGTCCTTATGTGAATTTGTACATTCTCCCTTTTTTCCTTGGAGAGAGAGAAAAAAATAGCATAATGAGTAAGAAAAAAGAATCTTCGGGGTGCCTGGGTGGCTCAGTTGGTTAGGCGACTGCCTTCAGCTCAGGTCATGATCCTGGAGTCCCAGGATCGAGTCCCGCATCGGGCTCCCTGCTCGGCGGGGAGTCTGCTTCTCCCTCTGCCCCTCCCCCCTCTCATGGGCTCTCTCTCATTCTCTCTCTCAAATAAATAAATAAAATCTTTAAAAAAAAAAAAAAGAATCCTCTCCAAAACAGTTATTTTTAAATGATGGCGTTCCAATGTCAGAAAGAAAACTGAACCTACCTCTGCCTCGATTTCCGCCTGCCTCTTCTCCAGGAGCTTTGCCACAGCTATGGCCCTGTGCTTGCCCGACCGTTTGCAGCTCACCGCCCACTCACACAGCAGTGTCACCACGGCTTCGTCATTGGGGGCAACCTACAGTCAAGAGAAAGGGGGACCAGCCACGTCAAGTGAAGCGCTCACCCAATGACAGAAAGCAAGCGATGGAATTTTTAACACTCTTAAAGCTTTCTTTAATTAAGCTTTCTTATATTTTATTATAGTCATTTCAGAAAATGTTCCCAAATCCTTTTTAACTGAAGTATAAAGAGCAACACTTTAGTGACAAGGAAGGAAATCACTAGAACAGCCCAGTCTGTAACAGTTTCAAGGGAATTAACAGTCTCCTTGCATATGCCTTTCATCTACACAGAATTATCACCCAGCCCCACTGATCCTCCAGAGCTCAACACCAAAAGCCAAGAGAAAGGGCAACGGAGCACTGAATATCCAGAAGAGCTGCTCCCAACCCCAAGCACTCACTCCACTGTTGGCCCCCTCACACTCAGAGGCCTCACTCGCTGCCCAATCCGAACATGGCAGCTCAGCAAGCCACCCACTCCAACAAGGAACTGAAGGGAACTGGAGGGGAGGCTGGAATGCTGGCCAAAGACTCACTGCATTAGAAACAACCAACATGAAAAATGACAACCAAGCATCAGAAAGAAACAAATTATTAAAAGCAGACACAGTTGGCAGAGGGCAGTATATCCTGGGTCTATGTGGGGCTCAGCACTGTCCCTGGAACTATGCACTGTGGTTGCCATGGCCTAGAAATGGGCCCCACAGACTGAGGATCAGAGGGGTCAAAGAAAGGTCACAGGAACCCAAGTGACATGAATTAGAGACAGGCAGGGGGAGTTAAGAGAAAAGAGGAATCATCCTTTTATGTAACCTCACCTTTCCTTTTAGAGGATGCATGCCAACCAATGTAACACCAATTGCCCGTTTTTATTATTTGTCCAGTTGTATAAAACACTATGCCAGAAGAACTGGATAATTACAGTATTGGCATTTACGTGAGAAGTCCTTAACGTTTTAGAATCCATATGTTCGATTGAGATTATAACAGCTGTAAACACACTCCCAGGAAAAATATGCAGACATACACACATAAATCTAGCACAACTTTTCAGAAAGTTCATGGACTCTAAGACACCCAAGAATCCCAAGGTAAGAATCCCTAATCAGCTTGTAGATACTAGCAAACAATTTAGATCATGAAAATCAGTTTGTTCCAAGATTCTTAGTCATCCTACCCTAAACTTGGTTAAACACATGTTGACTCAAACAAAGAAATGTTACTTAGGGCAGATCTCAAAAGCATCTCTAGGTCTCTTAATTTAAATTAAAAGAAGTAATTCAATTAAAATATATAAAGATTGTTATGTTTAACACTTAAAAAAGAAAGCAGACTAGAAGGAATGTTTGCCTGGATTCCATCTAATCCAGAGAAAAGTCAAAATATAAAAGTCAATTCAGTGAAGCACCACATGCTTAGATTTAGATTATAGACAACAAAAGGAGTTACCCTAAAAATACTACCATCAGTTTTTAATAAATTCATGCAGTCAGTAATGTGCATCATATCCACATTTATAAAGTTTTTTTTATTTTCTTCAGCATCATTAAAATAAGATGAAAATAGGCTACAAAAGAATAAATGACTCACTCGTTCAACTTAAGTAATAGGTTCTGCTTGACTTAAAGATGCACAGAATAGCACATATAAGGGAAAACACTTCTTCTTAACACATCCAGATAGGACCACGAGTTGGGGTAATGTGCTAGAAAATAAGCCCTTCTTAGGAAGGAGTCAATTCACTTCCAAAAGCACTTATTAAGTACCCATGCTAGGCACAGAGGAAACAAAAATTTAAAAGACCTGGCCCCTGTGCTCCGAAAGTTCACCTAGAAAGAAAAGCAAAAAAGACAACTAATCATAAAGCTACAAGACGTGGGGTGCCTGGCTGGCTCAGTTGGAGGAGCATGCGACTCTTGATCCTGGGGTCCTAAGTTCGAGCCCCATGTTGGGTGTAGAGATTACTTAAATAAATAAATAAAATAAATAAAATAAACTTAAAAAAAAAACAAGAAAGCTACAAGACGTTTTGACAACATCGAAGAGGAAGTAATTAAGTCTGGCTATCTGCACCTTCCATATCTCAGTCCCAGCTTACAGACATCTGAGATCTTAACTTGAAGACAGGAGGGCCTGCAGTCGGCCTGCTACAGCTGTGGTCTCAAGTGAATTACGAAAATCCAAGGAAAATGCTGCTGAAAAATTATGTTTTTAAAATATAAAATTTATTACAGAAATTTTCTTATATTCATATCAGTTATATGCCCATAATCTATTTTCAACTAATAAATATTTTCCAATACTGGCCAGATTCAAATAGTGCAAAGTCCACTCCTTTTGAAATATCAGATGGACTGCCAAATGATGCCAGTCCTTCCTTAGGATATTGGAGTGGTGGGGATGGAGGAATACATAGGTTCTGTGCCTATTTTAAAAGAAACAGTAAGATACTACAAAAGATGTTTTATTACTAACTTAGAAAATCATGTTGGAAAATCAGGGCACATGATACCAACTTGAAAGCAAACTATCCCTGCAATATGAATAATTACATTTATGTATTTGGGTCAAAATGTACTTCATTAGTTCTTTATTACTGAAAAATTATCTATTAGTTATAAAATACTTTTATAATTTCAGCATATTTTTCAAGATAATTTTTCAGTGAAAACTCCCCTCCCGACTCCTACTAATTACTACAAAGTTTTGATTAACATTTTAAGCTATTTTTACCAAGAGGCCTCTTCTAGCTTCCACTACCAAAAACGAGGATATCCTGCTTTTTTCACTCTAAGCACCAGTTCCAGGGTATATCCAATTAGACATGTTCAATGTGCATACAAAGAGACATCCATGGCTCACACTCCCCATAGGCAGATCCTTGCACCCCTCCCCCACTACTCTGCATCAATCAACTTTTGGAAAATTAGAGGATCACTCTCATTTGCCTTCCAGATGCTATTTTACAAATTAATTCAAGTAACTGCCAACAGGACATCATAACCTCAAATATGTAAACTGAAGCGCATTTGCACCCTATAAACAAATTTCTAAGAATATTAAGCTCCATTTCTTTAAAACAATAATTATTTGTTAAGTGAAATTTAGTAAATATGATTTTAACATATAATAACTTCAAGGCAAAAATTTGAGGAAATTTAGGAGTTCAAGATATAAACTACAGTCCCTGTCCTTCAGCAAGATGGCAATTAAGTGGGAGAGACATACATGTGTACAAATAATTTGGAAATGGAAAGGAAATGAATGAAAAGGAAAAAAGGAAAACGGGAAATGAAAATTATCTCAGAAAGTCAACATTTAACAGAAGCCGAAAGAGAAGACTGAAGGAAACTACTAGATGCTTCCTTTTAGAAAGTGGCTTTTGGGAAAAATCTTGAAGAATGAGTTAAATTTCGAGAGAGATGAACAAGAGAAGAAACGAGTATGTGGTGGGAGACAGAATAACACCCCCACCCCCAAAGATGTCCACACGCTAAAGCCAGGACATGTGAAGACATTACCTTAAAGGACAAAAGGGACGTTGTGGCTGTGATTAAGTTCAGGATGTTGGGGGGGGGGGGGAATTATCCCGGATTACTGGGTGGGACCAGTGTAATCACAGGGGTGGTTGTGAGGCAAAGAGATGTGACAGGGGAAGCAGGAGCCAGGGTGAGAGAGAGACTGGAAGATGATGTGCTGGGTACTGTGGAGATGGAGCAAGGGAACACAAGCTAAGGAATGCAGGGGGCTTCTAGAAGCTGGGAAATAGAAGGAAACGGAGTCTCCCCTAGAGGCCCCCTAAGAATGCAGCCCAAATGATACCTTGATTAGAGCTCAGTAAGATCATAACCTCCAAAACTGCAAGAGAAAAAATTTGTGCTGCTTTAAGCCACTAAATTTCTGATAACTTGCTATGGCAGCAACAGGAAATTACTTCAAAGCAGTTTTAAACAAGCAAATAAAAAGTGGCAAAGAGGGGCACCTGGGTGGCTCAGTCAGTTGGGTGTCTGCCTTCAGCTCTGGTTGTGATCCCGGGGTCCTGGGATCGAGTCCTGTGTCAGGCTCCCCGCTCGGCGGGGAGTCTGCCTCTCCCTTTCCCTCTGTCTCCTCCCTCCTTGCTCATGTTCTCTCTCAAAGAAATAAAATCTTTAAAATATGTTTTTTTATATCATTTGTTCCAATAATTCAATCTCTGAAAATATAACCCAAGGAAATTATCTTAAAGTAAGAAGATAGGAGTGCTCATCAGTGAAGCATGATACTAAAACGCTCCCCCCTTTCTAGCCCCAGAAACTGACAGATTCCCTCTGAAATTTGAAGGAGGCTCATAAGGGATCAAATCAGAGAAAACAGAATGAACTCACATGGAGAGAAAGTCCTTATGGATGGTTCACAGGCAAGAGCATTTGTCTTCAGCAATGAACTATGGACATTTGTGTGGTGTTTTATTTTTATTTCTATTTTTCTGCAGACAAATGGTGATATTTCAGTATCTAATTAAAGATGTATAAATAAGGAAGGCAGACCGGAGAGGCCTGCCACTGAACAAAGGAAAGGGGAAGTCCAAGAAGCATGATTACCAGTAAGACTCAAATCCCCTCCGACAGCATTCTCCCCTCTCAGACAAGGGCAGCTCCCCACCAGCCCACCATTCCTCCCTTCTTTCAGAAGCAGCACTCCTACTTCTTCTGGGGATACTGCTCCTCCTCCTGCTCCAGGGGATTCACAGAGGGGTACCCCATTCCTCTTAGATTTAGTGCTGCATTCTGTATTGGGGTCTTTGATAGGCAGTGAAGACTGGGCAATTCTTTGGTCACAAGAAAAAAAATCTATCAGGTACTCATCAGGCATGCTGCTCTGTGCTCAACCTTATAAAACATTTGGGATACTAAGAGATTAGCCCTGACCAGATGAAACTGCCTCTATTCCGATCAAAAATACTCTTCAGAATAGGTTTTCTGAAATACGCATTATTCTAGTCACTACTAAAATCTTAGCATTTATTAACTGACAA